GCTGTCATCAGGGGGAAGAATATTTAATAAGGGCATCCCGTCAGCTGACCTACTCCTATTTTAATATATTTTAACACCCTTAACATATCACTAAGTTTATTTTTATTGGGTAAGAAGGATTTGAACCACTCTTAAAATTGAATAGTTTCATTCTCTCGGCCACTATCGGAGATCCGTAGGGATGGATCGTCCATCCGAGGGATTCTAATGAATCTATCATCTCATTACTCTTGAATTTTTTAGCTCCCAGAAATTTAAGGTGAATAGATAATCATAAGTTATACTTCTTGGTTATCTAGTATAATAAAGAGAGGTAACGAGGATTACCCCCGTCCTTCCAAAGGACCCTACCCTGAAAGGACAAGATAAGATAAGATAGGACACCTCGGAGGGACCCCTCTGGGGATAATGCTTAGGTCACACTATGATGTCTAGGGGGTGACTCGTGGGAAGGTTTATTTAGCTATAGTGTTCTAGCCCCACAGCTATACATGTGTCTCTACTATTGTGCATACGGAGGAGTAGAAGCTAATAATAGATATATCATTCATAATATAGGTCATACCTCGAGTGGAGAACGTGAGAATTCGTCTAGGTGGAAAGACGCTGGAATTTGAATCCATTAAGAGTGGTTCGAGTCCACTATTCTCATTTTACGACTGATCCTTATAGAGACCAGGCCACCACTCTTACGGGTAATATGCCTATTATATACCTGTGTACCCTCGATCAACCTGTATACCCATAGACCTACACTCCCTCCGGTACTATGAGTGTGCTAGTCTATAGTGTCCTTCACAGAGAAGTCTTAGAGGGGAGGGTCGTGGATGTCAGGGACATCTTACACGCCCTCTCTACGAGAGTCCCCCCCCGTATTAAGCTAAACTACGGGGGGGTGTCCTGTCCCCTTGGGGGATAGTAGACTAATAGTCTCTTGTTCGATTCTACAGGTACACCCCTCCCTTGGGGAGTGACGGCGGGATGGTGATTGCAATGAATATTTCTGATTAATAATTCATCTAAAACTTACATGGAGAATTGACCTAGCTGAGAAGTTAGATAATAAATAGAGGGGCCGGACTTGAACCTACCACGTCGTATGTATTCCAATGACTATCTTATTTTTATATTTCATGTAGAGGTATTATTAAACTGCTACTACCTATCTTTACTTTTAGAACCTGAGTTAATGGTAAACTATCTCACTAGTGGGGGGTGGGCCCCCTGGGATAAGAGATGCCCCCAGCATAGTCGTAGCCCTACGGGGTGAATGACACTCACACTCACACTCACACTCACACTCGGGGAAGACCTACACGTCCTAGGTGAGAGGCTCACTCTCTCCCCGATAGAGTCCTAGGAAGTAGAGGGGGGGGGCCTGATCTGATAAACTACCAGAACACCTTCTTCGGTCGCCATAGGAATCGAACCCCGTAGGGGTGTACGCTACGCTCTCATTTTTCACTGTGTCCCCTCTGATGGATGGACCGGAGGCAGAGAGTAGACCTCTTGGGTGCGGGTGAGACGTTCTAGGTATTATAGTGTCGGAGTATAAAGCTACGATAGACACTATACAGTTTATCAGTTCGTATGTAATACTCTGCTGTGAGATACCCAATTACAACCTCAATATCAATTTCCTTCTTTCTAGGATATGATTTTATTAATATAAAAATATTTAATAGGTATCTAAGGTAGACAGTAAGAATAAATAAGATTACCCCTCCAGAGGGAGGGCATGCCCACTCTTTTCAAGAGTGGGGGACCCCTCTCTCTCTTTTGAGAGAAAGGGCATGGTAGATCCGAAGGGATGGATCCTATCTTACATCCTTTCGGATCCCCACTCTTTGAAAGAATAGAGTGGGGGACCTCTCTCGGGGAGAGAGGGCATAGTAGATCCGAAGGGATGGATCTTATCTTACATCCTTTCGGATCCCCACTCAAGAGTGGGGGACCCCGTGGGGTGATGCTATGGTGGAGGGTCTCATGCCCCTCCTAAAGGCACCCCTCCTCCGGTACCCCGGGATGGTAGAGGCAGGTCACCACCTCTTACAACTGTATCTCTCTAAATACACCCTACACCATATTAACCCTAATCCTCATCCTCACCCTCACTAGGAATGTGAATAGAATATTAGCTTTAGACTACAAATGCAGAGTATAGGGGCATCTTTCTCTCTATACGGATATAGTAAACCTGGGTAGACTATGCTAAGAAAGGTAGGTAAAACTTAAGAAGCTATAGCCTAAGAGTATAAGAAGTAGAGTAGTACCTAAAACTATACGTGGGTATGTGTTTAGTGGTATAGTATCATGAAGAAGAATATCTCTTCCGTAGGGCTACCCCTCTCTGAGAGGGCATGGTAGATCCGAAGGGATGGATCTTATCTTACATCCTTTCGGATCCCCATTCTTTGAAAGACTAGAGTGGGGGACCGGAGGAGGGGGAGGGAAAACTTTATATAGAGTGTTGGGGTACACCACCTTTAGCTTAGCTATGAACTCATGGTGGAGGATCCCTAACTAATCTTTAGATTAAAACGTGTACCGCGAGCTGAAATCTCTCGCGGCATAGGTTTAGATAATTTAGTTAGGGGTAGCGCGTCCTTTGCGCGTCTCCGACCCCAGGAAGCTAAAATAAAGACTTTTTTTAGCTGTAAAATGAAAACGTGGGGCGTCTGCGGTCCCTTGGACCGTAGATCCCTAACTAATCTTTTAAAACGTGTGCCGCGAGCTGAAATCTCTCGCGGCATAGGTTTAGATAATTTAGTTAGGGGTAGCGCGTCCTTTGCGTGTCTCCGACCCCAGGAAGCTAAAATAACGACTTTATTTAGCTGTCAAATTCAAAGGTGGTGGACCTCCGGTACCATCCCCCACGGGTTAGTAGCCTCCATAGTATCTAGTACCACCTTTTATCTGGGTTTGCTGATTCCCCCGATTGTATTAGCTGCAACTATGGAATATCTATCTATCTATTTTATGGTAACTGACAAACAGCAGTATTCGTCCAGAGTCTCTCGTGGTGTCTTGTCAGTCAGGGGCAGCCTCAACGAGAGGGGCGTGAAATTTTGTGAGATGGGGATAGAGAGGATGAAGGTTGGCGGTAATTTATCTACCCTGCAAGAACTGTCCGATATCTCTGACACTATAGTTTTTCAGGTCTGCAGTATATCTTACCATCAGGTAGCCTTGTATGACTGTAGTGCATCATCGAAGCCACTGAAGACACTATAAAGGTTCGAGACTGTGATAGTGGGTGCAATCTCTGCTTAATGCGAATAAGGTTGATCCAGTCGCTATGACTTACTATCATAATTGAGTGTGATGAATCCATTTTTAAAAAGCTATCGAAGAAGCAGGACTTTAACATAGAGCCAACAAAGAGGGAGACAGAGAGAGTGTGTGTGTGCTACCTATGAGTACAGGTGCTTGAGAGTGTGGAGTTACAGCTGACATGATAGAAGGTAGTGGACGTCCTCGAGGAGGTTCAATGGTGGATGGTACTGCAATTGGTCGAGAGGTAGCCCGTGACTGTGCGATACCTTTCTTGCTAGCCTCTTTGTCCGCCAGCTTCTACTGTATAGTGTGTGTCACAATCCCGAAAATTATACTCTTTTCACGAAAACCTAGATATGGATGACAGTACCTTGATTGAATCGAAAGATCCAGTCTATCTATCTCAGTGTCCTCGGGATCCCCGGTGTTGTTTATCATATCCACCTGGGTCATATTTATGTTGAATGCCTATCCAGTCCCATCCTTCAAGACATTAACAAGGTGATCTCTGTCCATCTTGGCCAAACCACCATAGAGCTTACCAGGGAGAGTGCGAGTTATGGGAAGGATATCCCTGACTACTCTCATCGCATCTCTGTGGAACGGGTTATAGTTTGCATTCTTGTCGAGAGGTAGCCCGTGACTGTGCGATACCTTTCTTGCTAGCCTCTTTGTCCGCCAGCTTCTACTGTATAGTGTGTGTCACAATCCCAAAAATTATACTCTTTTCACGAAAACCTAGATATGGATGACAGTACCTTGATTGAATCGAAAGATCCAGTTTATCTATCTCAGTGTCCTCGGGATCCCTGGTGTTGTTTATCATATCCACCTGGGTCATATTTATGTTGAATGCCTATCCAGTCCCATCCTTCAAGACATTAACAAGGTGATCTCTGTCCATCTTGGCCAAACCACCATAGAGCTTACCAGGGAGAGTGCGAGTTATGGGAAGGATATCCCTGACTACTCTCATCGCATCTCTGTGGAACGGGTTATAGTTTGCATTCTTGAACATCATCTGCACAATCTGTGGACCCATGGAGTATCCTTTCTTCCTACCATTATATAAATGATCTAAGACCATTGCCTTGTAGGCTGGATTAGGAGTCTTAAGGAAGTCCACTCCATGATGGTTTTTAGCGGAAGTTACTAGTCTCTCCACATTTTTGATTACCTCTTCTGCAACTAATAATTCAGTGATCCCGTACATGCTATAATATTCTGTGTACATACTCATTAGTATAGAGGTTATTTATGTAGCATATCACAGTGTACGCCTAGGATCTTTCCTTATCACTACCCTGCCTGTGGGTGCGAGTACTGGTGACTCAAATGGATCTCGCGTAACACCTCCACTCACTTGACGAGTAAGTTCTGCAGATGGATAGAATCTTGGTCTACTGTCACTCTTCCGCCGCCCAGCAGATGGAGATTGGGAAATACCATAGTCTGAAGGGTATGCAGGTATTGCACCCTCTAATCTCATGAGCAGTTCTTATTAAAAAATTATGAGAAGTTAAATTGTCACTCCCACACACTATTCCTTTGCCACACATGCGCAATAACTCTATTCTAATGATAAAAGGTTAACTGTAATTATAAAAGTATGTTAATATTCCTCTTTATTGTCAGCTATAGACGTGTAGGGTGATAGATTAGATGTGTACCACAGGGAAAGTCTTTAGCGATATGTCCGGATCAGTTGGATTATTGATGTGGGCAGTTGTACTAGGGACCCCTCTAACCTTTGGCCTAGCTTGTACAATACTGTGGCCCTGGGGTGGATTCTGTGAGCACACCTATGGTGGAGGGCTCCTCCTACACAATCCTGGATGGTCGGATTTGAACCCCAAGCTATCGCACTACACCACTAATTTTATCAAATCTGATCTTCCTGCGGGGTGGGAATATGCTATCCTACACCCTTGCGCGGAGGTGATTTGCTCCATTAGGAACTCCTCTTTTATCGTAGAGGGCAGTAATCCCGAGGGTACCGAAGGTGTAGGAGGGTCCCGAGACCCTCCACCACCCTCTTATGCGATCTTACAGTCTCTTTTCCCGAGGGGATTACTTAAGTACTACACCCTATCGATAGGATTCCTTATAGCTACCCTCCACCTAATTCGGAAGAGGGTTAACTCTCACAGGGGATGCGATTTATGATGTTGGCTTCCCGTAAGCATTCTTATGGTTACAATTTGTTTATAGTTTACTGGTCACCCAAGTAGCATAATAATCTTTACTTTATAAAAAGGTTTTAATCTTCTAAATTAACCAAATAGATATACTCACCATATACTAGACTAGTGTTATTACCTTACCATGGGTTCTATTAGTCTCTAAACTGATGTGTATAGGTATGATATACTTGTGGGCGATCAGATAGATAACCGTAGCTTGCACACCACTCATCTCAAGGGAATCAATCTCTGAAAAGCGGGTCAGTAGTGGAAGGATAATAGGATTATAAAAATGGAGGTTAGTTAACTAACTTTTAATAAAATAAGTGGTAGGTTCAAGTCCATCCTAAGATAACAAAGGTTCCGGACATCCATCAGTTAGATACATATGTGAAAACTATAATCTGATTGTAGAATATATAAGAGGGTCTACACAGATTTTTAAAAGTTAATGGATGGAGGCCCCCCTTCTACAGAGAGATAGCTATCATAAGGAGTATCTGTGTCTTAGGAAGGTTAGCTAAAGGAATATAAATTTTACAAGAGGACCCCCCCGGGGACATAAGCTATCCTACGGTCCCTAAAAGAAGAGA